GCAGCAGCAGTAGTAATTTAGTGTTCTCAGCAGCAGCAATAGTAATTTAGTGTTCTCAGCAGCAACAATTTAGTGTTCTCATCCTATCTTATCTATTCAGTATTCTTACCTTRTCTGCTTTCAGTAGCAGGGATTAGTAGGAGTCTTATCTTATCTTATCAGTTCGGTAGGATAGATTAAGAGAGTCTTATCTTATCTTATCAGTTCAGTCTTATCTTATCTTATCAGTTCAATAGAATAGATTAAGGGAGTCTTATCTTATCTTATCTTATCAGTTCAATCTTATCTTATCTTATCAGTTCAGTAGGATAGATAAGTAGGGAGTCTTCCTAATTAGTAAGGAGTTCCTAAAAGTAGGACCCTTATCTCTTGTAATCTCCTATTTAAGGAGCTGATATTATTCAATAAAGGCATTGAAAATTTCAGTCAAGAAAGAGAGCAAAGGAGAGTTGGTGATCTCTTGAACAAATCACCTTTTAGGGCGGCAAGATAGGATCTTCAAGAAAAGGGAGGAACAAGGGAAAGCATGAGGTTTTCCCCATGGACTGACCCGTGACGAGATCCTATTCGCGGGCCCATAACAGTCCACATCCATGCCAACACTGGATATATGAGTTATGACTCCATTTCTTAAAATCCTAAGCACCGATAATGGGTATGGATATCCTAAGCACCGAAATTCTCCAGGAATCTGTTTTTTTCCAAATATCCCCGATATTTTGCAGATATGTCTGCAACATTTCAGATTTCATTGATAGACTTTAAATTTAAGGTTTAGAATTTCAGAATATTACTAGAAAAATTTTCAAGATTTCATTAAAATCATCATAATTTTTTAAAAGTATTTTTCTAAAAGAACCAGGGGAGAATTGGTGATTGGATAATTGGCTTATTATTTTCATATGATTCACTAAGCCACTATAGTTCAAAAGAATAAGAAAAGTGCAAGTAATTACAAAAGAATATTCTCAATCTAATCAAAACATATGGTAACAAAAAAATGAAAGTCAAAATGGCGAGTAATTGACATATTTGATTAAAAGATGGCTAAAAGGATAAAAGAGAGATGCATATTGAGTTTCTTAATTTTCTCCTATTAGATTTAGTTGGTTCTTTGCTATGGTTTTTTGAGCCTTGAGTATGCAATTATGTTTCTTCTAACAATTCCTTAAGCTAGTGTTTGGCATCGATGTTGCAGTTGCAACACCATTTTCTGAGAAAACGGTGCCTTTTTTTTGTTTAGAATCGTTGCTGCCAGGTAGGACGTTTCTTGGAGCAACAACTTTTTCTATTTGGTACCAATGCTCCAGGAAACGTTTTCTGCACTTCTACCCATTATCCAGTGCCACATCACTGCCCTGTTGGCAGCAACGAGCTGCAGCTCCAGGAAACACCAAATTTGGTGTTGCTCCAAGCCATGCCTTCCCGATTTCCAAGGCGTGGCTTGGAGCACTGTTTTCTATGGAAAAACTGTTCCAAACAGATGGCTGTTTCCTGGAGCACCGTTTTTTCCTACATGGTGCTGATGTGGCGCTGTTGCTCCAGGAAACGGCAACGATGCCAAACAGCCGCTAAAGTTTTATTAACTAATTCCATGTTTCTAGAAAACTTTCCTGATTTTTTAGAAGTATTCGTGTGGTATCTGATTCCATATCCAACACTGGCATGCTAGGCATGTTCAAGTATCTGGGTATCATAGTTCAGAACTATTGAACAACCTTTCCTAAGAGACTGTCATAAAGGCATGAAGGTCTAATCCAGATGGAGACCAAATGTTTAAATACATTTTAAGAATTTAAGGGTGAATCTACAAGGACCTGTGTACTACACCATCTTTATTTTGGTGTTATTCCAACCCTTCAACTAATAGAGTACTGCACTCACTGTTCTGTTAAAATTTTAGGATCAACTCTAGCCTGATGCATTATAACAGTAAGGAAGAAACAATACAATATAAAGCCCACTGCATGTTAAATGATGTCATTAGTATCCAAAAAGAACGAAAATAAATATATCAAGATCCAATATATTGTATGGAGTGTGCTTTTGGCACTTGGTGATTAGCTGTATTTAAGGACTAAATCCTCATGGTGGAGCTTCGGGTTTTCTAGAAATTCAACCCTGACGTGCCCTTAAAAATCAGATTTGTCAATTTTACCTACCTTTTTGCAACGGATTCAAGATATTGTATGGAGTGTCCCTTGAACCCCTTGAATCAGCCTCTTTGTGAATCATCATTTCCTAGAGTTTATAGTCTTTCTTCTTTCATAAACAAACCCATTGCAAACTTAGTGCTATTTGATAATCGATCCTTGTCTTGGAATTTGGGGTTCAAGGGGTTCAAGGGACAGGGAATGTGAGGAGGTTGGTAACCCTTTAAACATTCTAAAACAAGTGATCATCAATCTGTCTGGTGAGGTGAGAGTATGGGAACCTAACTCTAGTGGATTATTTACTGTTTCGTCTTTCTTCAAAACCCTTTATTTGAAGTCCTCTACTATCTGTGGCTTTTCCTTGGAAAGTCACTTGGGAGGGCCCTTTTCCTGAAGTCAAGGTTTTCCGTTAGGAGGCTGCCCTTCAAATCATCCATACCTCTGAAGGGCTCCAAAGTAAATTCAACTGCTTGTGTATCTCTCCCTATGTGTGCATTCTATGTTTGAGGAATGGGGAAAGCCTTAATCACCTGGTAATTAATATTCCTATGCATCTCAGATTTGGACTCTCTTTCTGTCATTATTTGGAGTAAAACTCAGGTGGCTCCATCCAAAATTATGGAACTGTTTGGGTGGTATCCTTTCAATTTAATGTCCAAAAGAATGAAGGTGGTATACCTTTATATTTTTCATAATTCTGCTTTTTTTCTATAATTTTGGTATGCCTTTATACTAGGAGTGTTATTTTACGGAGCATATAGGGAGAAAGGAATGCAAGATTGTTTGAAGATAAGGAACAACAACCTGAGATCTTGATAGAGTTTGTAAAGGCAAAGATAGCTAATAATAAAGATGTATCATTGACTGATGTATAGTTACCAAAAAGAAAAAAATAGACTGATAAGAAATGGTTGGACTAGATCTGATGCAAAAACAAGTTACAGAGTGAAGCAAAATGTTGTCTAGTTTTCTATTGTGTGAATTGTGTCAATGAGATTTCTGGCAGCCTCTTACATTGAAAAAACAAGCTGGTCCACAGAATTTCCATGTCGAAGCTTGTCAATAATAGATGTAATTCATTTAAAAGAAATAAGAAAACAAGAAAAAAAAAGAAATTTGATACATTTATTAGAACACCTCACCATCAGCATCATCTAAGCTTTATCCCAGCTAATATAGTGTTGGCTAGTTAAAAGTTTGACAAAAGTTTTATGTTGGCTACAACCTGACATAATCTCATACTTACCAATATGTAAGACCTCAGTGTAAGACAAGCTCACACTAGTGGAGTTATTGAAATATCTCATACTTACCAATAATGTAAGGCCTCAATCAACAGAAAAGAGAACCGCATACTCTTATGGTATATTCAAACTCTATTGGCAATGCTACTGTTCAGGCAGAATTTATTTCTTTACTTCAAGGACTAAGGCTAGCAACCTCCATGGAGATTGGAGATTCCCAAGTAGTCATTGGGTAGATAAGGGAAGAGATTTCTAGCCCATTACTGTATGGTTGTACTTTTACTCTATTAGAGAGGTGCATTCTCTGGTATCCAGATTGAACCCATTGTATGTGTGCTTCCAGAGATCAGCCAACCCATTGGCTAGAGAATGGACCAATAGCCAATTGGCTGAGTTGTATGGGATCCAGCTCAGAGGGAGTGAGATGGTTTGTGCATTTGGGTGATATTGCTTATTGGTATGCTGGTTGATGTTAACCTAGTAGATATTGTTCTTATTTCTACTTTATCTTTTCTAATAAAGTTCACATTGATTTATTATAACAAAAATATGTAAATTATTACATGATCAAGACCAAACTCCTTTCCAAAAGAAATTGGCAGTTGAGTTCAAAGTTCAAGAGTTGCTGGTTGCCACTCAGGCTAGACAAACAGGAGCACTTAATACCTGTGGGGTGATAGATAACTGGATGCCCAGATGTATTTGTAAAAACAAATGTTTCATTTGTCCCCTGCTTGAAACCCAAAACTTTCAGTGAAAAATATGGAGGAAGATGACCAATGAACAAGACATAAGATTGTGTCTTCAAACAGAACCTGATATTTTCTCTTATTAGTTGGTCTGAGTGGTGCCTCGACTAAACCACCAAATACTGCACCTTGTTGGTCTCCCACAACCTGGAAACAGATGTGCATGCATTATAGAACAGAGCACCAAGTAAAATGAAATTATAGTTGTACATTGATAATCCACTAAACCCAGCTAGAAGCACTAACATAATGGAAAAGACTGAAGACTATTAAGTATGATAACCAACAGACAAGTAAACCAGCATGAGGAAAGTTTGGAATCCAGTAGACCATCTAGAGCTTAAGCCCCTGACACCATATCAATCAGCAATCACTACCATTTAAATAGGTGGTCTCCGTATCAGGAATGAACCCAAACAGGGTATTTATGACAGTGTAGATCAGAGTAAAAGTGGGTCATGCTACCAGATTGTATGCACAGAAATATTACTTATTATTATCAATGCAAATACTTCTACACACTGGTAATGTGGTCATGATCTACAACATTAAAAAAACTACAGCGGAGAATCATTTCAAGGGCACAATACTTTTTTCCTTATTTTGGTTTGATAAACATGGATAAAGAATTGGTAGTACTAGAGCTAAATGCCTGAGTAAAAGACTGTGAATCCCACTTAAATTGTTCAGCCATGGCAAATGGCTGTTGTATTTTCTTGTATGGATAAAGAATTGGTAGTACTAGAGCTGACTGCCTGAGTAAAACACTGAGTCCCACTTAAATTGTTCAGCCATGACAAATGGCTGTTGTGTTTTCTTGTTTTCAGCTTAAGGTTAAATCATGAAGGTAATCTCTCCCCTACCCCTTTTACAATTAAAAGAATCTAATTATGATCTTCAAAGATCTATAGATTCCAGAGATGACAACCTAGTTGCTATGACCTATCAAAACATTACATTTTTTACTTTTAAGACTATTTTTAAGGACAATACCAGCAAACTCAAACCAGGGCAAAGCATACTCCTCCTGTATAGGGTTGAAAGTGATATTCCATGCCTCCAGGTACTGCACTAGGACAGAGATACATTAGATAAGGTGCCAAAACAGCCTATTGATATCAAACTTGCAAATTTCCAAAATAGGTTACATGTCAGGACAGATCAATCATAAACATACTAAAATTATATGTTTCTCAACCTGTATAACAACACCCATTTCCTCCCTTGAACAAGTGCCGGAAGTGAAACATAAAGAGCACTTCGTGTTTTCTCTGAAAGAAGCATTGAAGGTTCAGAAATATCTGGAAGAGTAACTCTTGGCACAGCCTCTCTTGAAGTCTGCACAGGCCTCAACTCAAGCCCAACAAGTTTTGAACTGTTTCCATCATCATTTTTCATATTATAATCATCCTTGTGCTCTGGGGCTTGATTCCTGTTCCCACTCAACCTTGCTGCTTGGTACATTACTCTGCTAAGTGATTGTTTTCCCCTAGAAAACAAAGTTTTCCTTCCAATATTTCCCTTGATTAACAAGTCAGTTGCTGGTTCACCCATTTCAGCATCATGTGTGTTTTGTTCTTCCACATGTGGATGATTCCCCAGTTCTGGAGATGACAAAAGAGAATAGAGGAATGCTGTAAAAGACGATGTATCAGGGCCATCAACTGGAGTCCCTGAGTCCTCTTCCTCATCTGATGCTTGTTCGCTTTTTACTGACTCTGTCACATCCTATCCAATGAAAGAAAAGCTATTTAAGAATTCACATGGAAAGATAACAGAGCATCATGTAATTGTTATGGTCTTTAACAAAACTTCCTGACAGACTAGAATCTGTGGACAGTAACAAAGTATGATCTCCCTTCCCCCACTCCCCACTCTCTATTTTTCCCAATACTTGTTTTTATTAGCCAAGCTAGGACAGACAATGCAGCTCAATAACAAAACAAGTCGAAGAGGCAAGCAGGTGCAGAGCAATCCAACTATATCAACTCAGAGCCGTCCTATCTACCAGGTAAGGGATTCATCCAAGGCTCAACAGCTTATATCAGGAAGCACTCATTATACAATTAGGCTGGTGATGCCTCTGATCAATGAAGTAAGGCAACAACCTTAGCACTTGGTTATACAATTAGGCTGGGGATGTCTCTGATCAATGAAGTAAGGTAACAACCTTAGCAGTTGGTTATACAATTAGGCTGCCAATGCCTCTGATCAATGAAGTAAGGTAACAACCTTGGCCAGTTGGTCCATCATCATCTAAGCCTTGCACAATTATATTATATGGGGTCGGCTAAGATTTGGAAATGATGATTAATTTGGAAACACAAAGCTTTCCACATATCAAATTTTCATCTAAAATTTCTACTAAATTCCAAATATCAAAATTGAATGAACCTGCAGTTCTATATCAGGTTAAATAACTAAAAATTAAATCTCCAGTTTCCATACAAGCTAAAATAAGACCATTAGTTGAAACTCTAAGTGAAATACCCAAACCTTAGAGATAGGTTTCCGAACATAAAAAAAAAAAAAAAAAACAGGACAATCATCTCAATAAAGCTATATACTGACAGAGTACCATAAAATTCGAACTGGGTCAGTAATAACTAATCTAGATGATCTTATCTGAAAAAGAAAATCATTAACTTTCAGCAACCAGCAGACTTTGCAAAGCACAATAGGGCATTCTGGAAAATAAAAAATAATAACGATAACTTACATGAAACTTCGATGGTTTATCAGAGATTGGATTGAGCAGAACAGTAGTGAGATCAGATACAAAGTGAACCGCTTTACTACGAAACGAGGGTTCGCGACCCATCGATTGCATACCACCAAACCCAAACCCTTTCAAGGAATCGAGGAAAGACCGAAAGAGCGGCCTTGATTTGTCAACAGAAAAATAAAACGAGGACGAACGGATAACGAGGAGCTTGAAACTCTCCTCCTTTTGGGTTATCGTAACGAATAAAGAATAAAGAAGGATGGGGATTAGGTAAAGGGTAAGCCAAATTTCTGCGAAAGAATCAAAGAAAATATTGAAATAGAATGGATATCGATGATGGAAGCACAAGCATCAAGCATGTACACTCCCTCAAATCTCAAATTTCTGCCCTTACGTCTGCCCGCGGTTTAGACCTTAGAAAATTAAAATTAGGAGAAAATAAAATACAATACAAAAATATCTCGCTGTAGTTCATGGACTGGGTAGTCCGATGTGCTGACCCGGCCCGGTTGTTTTAAGTCGGGTTTGTACATGAATTTAGGCCCGGCCTCAGATTCAGACCTAAAACATATGAGATCTTTCATTCTTTTTGGATTTTGAGGATTTTTAATATAAATAAATCAATTTTTTTATTGAGTAAAGAAATAAAAAATGTTTTTCCCAAATTTTCTAAAAGGATTTTGGAATTTAAATGACGGTTAGGCTCGGATTCCAGACCTAAACCCGATGGTCAAACGGGCCCACCTCGGCCCGTAAACGTTTTTATTTTTTCCACGTTGGCCCAAAATATCTTAGGTTACGGAATTCTTCCCTTCCTTGGAGTCCGATTATGAAATTACCGAAAAAGAAAATTCTTCCCGGAATTGAAATTCAGGGTCCTGGGCGCATACCGAAAAGAAAAGCACCTTTTATGGCTTTATATTTATATYAATAGAATCAGAAGAAGCATTTTATCAAAAATGAGATCTGCCCAAATCACTCCCCTTCTATATGTATGATTGTTGTTAAAAATTTGTAATTGCCACATCAGCAAGAAACATCTGCTGACATGACAATCATTTTTGTTTAACAAATCAATAAGGCAAATACCTCTAATGAACCCTTATGACCCACTTTCATTCAATTGCTGGAACAATCATCAGATGTGAGTGAAAGGAATAGTGAGATCATGTTTAACAATTCTATGACCTGCCTTTATTTTCTGGATGTTGATGGAGTTTAGGCTGTATTTAGTTTGAAGGAAAAGGTAGGGAAAGAAAGGGAAAGGTAAGGAAACATTTATAAACATTGTATAGGTTTTTTATATTTCCTTATCTTTTCCTTCAAATCAAACATAACCTTAGTGAATTGATTAAAGGGGAATATCTTAGGGAGTATTTGCCTATTTGGTACAGTAGCATTTGCATTTGTGGTCGCAATTTGGGCTCGGTTTGGAAAGAGTAGAAATACAAATATATACGGTATAAATACATACAAAATAATATAAAATATAATATTTTGCACACTATATGTTTGTATTTGTATTCCTTCCAAATAGAGCCTTAGAGTAAAAATAACAATTTGTATTGATCAACTCAAAAAATCTTTATTAAAAATTTGTATTGACCAACCTAAAATACAACAACAAAGGCAACGCCAATGTAGCAAATGATGATGCATCAAAGACAACAGCATTTTTGGGGACAGACTTTTTARTAACAGTAGTGGAATCCCCTTCAATTTCAATATCCATCGCTCCCAACCCCTAATGTTAATGCTTCCCATTCTAATATGAATTAAGCACATCATTAGTAGATAAAGGTAGTATACCCCCTTACAAGGGCAAATTATGGGGTAAGAGTTGCTATGCATTACATGTAATTTTTCATAAATAGTCGTGACGATGGAAAATGTGAATCATCTGTATTATCTAATTGCTAATAAACAACACCCATTTTCARTAAACATCCCCATTATCTAGTAAGATATCAAGCTCAAAGAAGAAAATTGATTATTTGAATGAGAAAAGTTTCTACTATATATTACAACCGAACCCTCATCGAAGTTCTACATAGCAATTAGCAAGGTTTTTAAAACAGGACTGGACAGAGAACCGTTCTGGGACCGGTCTCCAGTTCGAACAGTTTGACCGTCTAGTTTAAACGGATGGCCTGTTTTGACTAAAAAATAAAAAATGATCAAAACTATTGTCCTGGTTGATCGTCTGCATCAACAGGTCGCTGACAAATCAACGGTTTTTTGTCAAAAGGGATTTCAGGATGAAATGGAATCAGTTAYCGATTCCTGAGTTTTCTGGACCAACCATCCAGTCCGGTCCGGTTTTCAAAACCATGACAGATTAGTTTCTGTTGTTTACAATATTAGTATGGGAAAATTCCTGATTAATACCCTGCATTTTGGGCCTAGTGCCACTTTGGTCCCCGAATTTAAATATGACAATTAGWACCTAAGCTTTTAAAACATGTCAATCCAGTAACTACCATTAACTAGTTGTTAACTTGCCGTTACATGGCCTTTGAAAAAGACACAAATGCCCTTCCAGTGTCATCTAATTTTATTTATTAACCATTCAAGCATTAACAAAAAATTAACAATCCAAAATCCTTGCCTTTTTTATTGAAGAAAGTTGGGGTCCATAATGCCCACAAAGATGTGACACCAACTTTCTTGAATAGAATAAGCAAAGATTTGAGGTTGTTAATTTTTTGTCAATGTTTGGATGATTGATAAAGAAAATTAGATGATACACAAAGGGCATTTGTGTCTTTTTCAAATGATACTTAATGACTGATTAACATAGGTACTGAATTGACACATTTTAAAAGTTTGTGTACTGAATTATCACACTAGGCCCAAAATACATAATACTAATCAGAAATTTATAGAATAACAAAAATCCTTTTAGGTGCTTTTAAGGTAAGTGGAATTACTTACTTTCATACCTTGTCATCCGAGTCTGGATCTCCTGCTCATGAGAACACTGCCCACGTTTATCGCAGCCACACATGGAGAATATCTCATCCTCTGCATAGTATTATGTAGGGGGAGATGTTCCCAATTCACAGGGAGAATGTATTGTGGATAAGCGTGAACAGAAATCCCGTGGGCAGGAGATCCGGTCTCTTGTCATCCTAGTAAGCAAGGATGACAAGAAGAGGACGCAATATATATCATTTACCAAGTATATGGTACGATGTCAACTTCCACACATGTAAGAAGAAATGAAAGATAAATTCCAAAAAATATGAAACCGTTTAAAAGCCTGACAACATATCTTCTCTTCTTTACACAGAAATATAGAGTAATAAGAAAATTGTTGGTTTTATGTGCTTGAATATTGATATATTACCACCGAGATCAAATCAGCCCCTCACAAGATTGCCCCCCATAATGTTCCACAGTATATTTCCGCCATTGTATTGGAAACATCTCCCGATAATAATATCAAAAATGATAATATCATCATCGGGAAATATTTTCAATACACAGCGGAGATGTGCTTACAATCTTGTGGGGGACTGATTTGAACTCGTTACCACCGGTATGGTGTTAGCAATAGTATTATTATTATGTTAAATGGTGACAATTTGCAGTCATGTCATACCCAATTGCAAATTGTCATCTAATGTTTTCAAAACTGACCGGATGGCTTGCCTGGGCTCTACTGCATGTGTCCAAATCATGTTGTCTCTATTTGGTTGGGAGGGTTTTTATACTTTTGGCTCTGTGAGATGGAGTCCACTTAAAAAGCCTACAAGCAATGTTTAATGGAAAATCTAGAGAGCTTAAACTGAATATTCAAACACTTCATGACTTCCTTTAAGGCCCATTTGTCAAGGCTTCAGATTTCACCAGAATAGTTGATTTCTTGGCTGAATGAAAGTATATTGGAGCTTTCCAAGGCCATGTTTGGTGTGGCCTAAAATGTGTTTTAGAAGACAAAAGCATCCCTAATTTTTTGCTTCTTGCATTTTAAAGAAGCGTTTATTCATATTCCAACTATTTGGTTGGGCGGAATCCCATTCCAGCTTGATTTCAATTCTCACTCCGACTTCTGTCTGAATTAAACAAACTGTGAAAATGAAAATAGACCATTCCAATTCTCATTCCAATATATTCAGATTGGATTCCAACCATAAACCAAACGAACCGTTGGACAAAGGAATAGACAGACACTTTTTTTTTTATGTAAAAAGGAATAGAAACTTCTTTTTTAGGTAAAAGAATAGACACATAAGGTAGTGCAAATGGAAAGTCGAGTAAAGTGAGGCACCTAAGAAAATGATAAGAATATTTCAAGTTTTAGATCATCTTAATTGAGAAGATGGATGGATAGGGAAAAAAAAGAAACARAATTATTGGGATTTGGAAGTTTGATACCAGCAAATGTTTAGACCAATTTGCTGAGATTGACTTCCATCAGAGAAAATATGTGCTCACACTGTTTTAACAGCCTTTTGCAACCTTGCATTGAAAATATCTCTCCATGAAATAAAGATTGCTCGAACGGATTTTGCCCTGACCGAAACTGAACTCCAATTTACTAGTTTAAATTCCTCCCTTTGGCCAAATTGCAACAATCAGGAACAGGAAGAAAAAAAAGTCCAACTAATAATTATGATATTGAAAAGGCATGATACCAAAAAAAAAAGGTAAAAAGACTTAAAGTCCTGAGATTTTAAACGGTTTCAATGAAAAGACAATTTTGCCATTCATTAAATCTCGAAACATAGTTGTCTTTAGGTGACTTCTTTTCATCCAACTTAGTGTACATAGTCACAATCTATCCAGTCTTGAAAAGATTTTGAATATTTCTACTAGAAAATCACAATCAATGTAAAATTTGAAAATCCAAATGAATTATTTTTTAAATACCTCCTGCCTCCCCTACGTTATTTTCTTCATTGTACTGCACTTTTTTCAGCAACAATCTTAATTACACTTCTCAAAGGTATGGTGGAAAGCTGAAAGCGGGGCTAGAAACCGCAAGTAGCCTCCCCAACTTGCATTAACGAARGATTCTTGCATAAATCAGCTTCTCTACTTCCAAAGTTTAGTCTTTCAGCCCTATAGATTGGTTGTAGCTTTTATATCTGCTCCCAACTTGGAAGGTCTGGTAATTTAACTTTAACCGATGATCCAGTCGATTCCCCTAGACGTGTAAATCGGGCTGGGCCATGGGCGGCCCGGCATGATGGTCCATGCCGTATTGGGCCTGGGGTTTGAAATCTACTCTGGCTGGTATGGCATAGCACGATCAAGCGGGCCGTGCTGCCCGTGGCATGCGTGCCGGCATGGCCCGACCCAGCACAGCCTATATATACTATTTATATATATAATATTTATATATTTATATATAATATATAATATATTATATAAATTATAATTATATAATAATATATA